CCAGATGAGTGTTTTACCCACTGTCAGTTGTGCAAGTTCTTGTATGCATCAGCTGATTCCTCATGCTTTCTAATCTCTTATCAGCTTCATCCTTCAGTTTGCTGGAAATATATATCCCTGAAAAGAGAGTGGACTTTTTATTTCTCTTTGTAATTCTCTCAGTTTTTGCTTTTGGGGACCGTGTTCTTACACTGCATCTTCCCTTTATTGTTATGAAATGTAGCTTCTTCTTTTCACTAAAGCTTTTTTTTTCACCTTCTATTTTGGCTGATGTTACTATTACACCAGATTTCTCTTGGTTAATGTTAACTTAGTTTATATTTTTGTATTCATTTAATTTTAAACTATTATTTCAAACATTCAGAAAGGTACAATGAATAATATTTAAAGTTCTGTGTACCTACTCCCAGCTTAAGAAATAAAACATTAAAATGTAGCTGAAGGGGAAGGGTATTCAAGAGGGAGGGGACATATGTACACCAATGGTTAATTCATGCTGAGGTATGGCAGAAATCAAACCAATATTGTAAAGCAGTTAGCCTTCAATTAAAAATAAATAAATTTTTAAAAATACAAAAAAGGTTAAAAAAATAAAAGCATTTTATTTTTTAATATTTAAAAAAATATTTGCTTTGCATTACCTCATGGCCAACAGAAATATATAAGGTGATATGGAAAAAAATAAAATAAGCTAATGTAAAAAAAAAAAAATGTACCAAGAAGGTCCTTGAGTAGAAATCCTCAGTCTCATTGCTCCTCTCCCCACACCAGCCTAGCCCTGACGTTGGTGTTACTCATTCCCATGCAGGCTTTTATAGTTCTACTTGTATATATACCGTAAACAATATTGTTACGCAGTATGTTTGGAAACAAGATGTTTCCATGCTTATTTAAATAGTATCATATGCTAAACCATAACGGACAAGAATGGAAAAAAGAATATATATATATATATATATATATATATGTATATGTATAACTGAGTCACTTTGCTATACAGCAGAAATTAACATAACACTGTAAATCAACTCTACTTCAATTTTTAAAGTTAATTAAATAGTATCATATGATTTGCATTATTCTGAATCTTGCTTTTTTTAGATTAACATTGCTTCTGATCCATGTTAATATAGTTAATTCCAGGTCATTCATTCATGGTCCTGCTGCCCAGACAGAATACACTCTTCTTATCACTCTCCTGAGGATGAACGATGAAGAGGTCTCCAGGGTTTCGCTACCATGTGTGGTGCCGCCTCCATGGTCTCACAGGTGTCTGTGCATTTGGCCAGGGACCTTCCAGGGCATGCACCCACAACAGGAACGACTTGTGTGTGAGTGCCAGTGGGTTAGATACTGTGANGGCCGTAGAGTTACCTTTGTAGTTATGCTATATGTGAATGGTAACAGAATTAAAAGTCATTTTTGGAGACATATGCTTCCCTGGTGGCTTAGCTGGTAAAGAATCCGCCTGCAATGTGGGAGACCTGGGTTCGATCCCTGGGTTGGGAAGATCCCCTGGAGAAGGGAAAGGCTACCCACACCAGTATTCTGGCCTGGAGAATTCTATGGACTGTATAGTTCATGGGGGTCACAAAGAGTTGGACACAACTGAGAGACCTTTCAGTTTCTCTAAAGCTTGAGACTGTTGGGTTTCTTAATCTCAGCTAGCCTGAGACAGGTTTACTTCGCACCGCCCTGACTGCGAGTAACAGAGGCTGGTTTTACAGCTCTGCTCTCCCGCCGCTCCTCGCCCCGAGCTCCTTCCTACGCACGGGGCCCTTTCTGCTGCTGCTTCCCCTTTCTGATGTGTGCACGTTTTTGTTTCTTCTGATTGCTCTGCTCAGTTGTTCAGTCATGTCTGACTTTTTGCAGCCCCATGGCCTGTAGCCCGCCACACTCCTCTGCCCATGGAATTTTCCAGCAAGAATACTGAGGCGGGTTGTCGCTTCCTACTCCAGGAGATCTTCCCAACCCGCAGATCGAAACTGTGTCTCTGGAGCTTCCTGCATTGGCAGGTGGATTTTTTACCACTAGCGCCACCTGGGACGCCCTCGTTCTGGTTGCTATTTATTCTGGTCGCTGTTTATTGGCTGATGCTGTGGAAATGTCTGCTCCAGCCTATGACTCATTTGACACGCTATGGTGATTTTTGGATGCAGAAATTTGTATTTCAATAGTCAAATTTGCCAAACGTTTCACTTATGATCTGTGCATTTTTATCTCTTCCTTAAGAAGGCCTTCAGTTAGTAACAGTACTCTCCTGTATGTTCTAAAATTTGAAATTTGCTCTTCACATTCATGTCTTAATTCATCTGAGCTGATTTTCAAATCTGCTACGAGGTGGAAATCCAACTTCCTTTTTTTCTCTATGGATAACCAAACTATCCCACACCATCTGCAGTGACAACACAAGTGTTCTGAGTACATAAATATTTCATCTGTGAATAATGACATTTTTCTTTCTTCCTTGGCAATCCTAAGAAATTTTATTTCATCTTTTTCTTATTCTACTGCACCAAGACCACTGATACTGGCATAGTCTGCTAAGAGCTTCTGTCTGCAAGAGTGCTGGGTTTTATCAAACACACACAGAGTACAGGGTGTGATGCACCCCCACACACTCATCACCCAGCTTCCACAATTAACACAGTCGCTCATCTCATCCCGTCTGCTTCTCACTCTGGTGCTTGGTTGTGCTTTTGCTGGAGCTCAGATGCTCTTTCTGATGGCACACTCTTTCCCTTCTTCAGTCTGTTAAGGTGATGAGTTACAGTAATAGACTTTCTAATGTTAAGTCATCTTGCATTTCTAGGGTAAATTTTGCATTTCTAGGGTAAATTCAAGTTGATCATAAAGATGATCTTTAAGTACATCCAAGTTGAATTGGTTCTTATTTCCCTGAGGATGTCTTGTCTCTCTGTGTGTGATGGTAATATATATTTTTTTTCTCTCATATTGTCTTTATATGGCATTTTCATATCAAGATTAGTCCAGTTTCATAAAGGGTGGGTACTTCCTTTTTATCTTCTCTGGAGTCATCTGTATAAAACTGGAGTAACTGTTCTTAAACAGTTGGCAGAATTCAGTTGTTAAAACTGTCAGCGTGGTGGCCAGGATAGGTAGATTTTTCAATTACTATTCATAAATTATTCCATTTATGAAACCGCCTGGGTTTTCTGCTTCTCCCCGGGTTACTGCATCCCCCCGCCTCCACCGCCCTAGATGCACCTGCATCACACCTGCAGTGCTTTCCCCCCAGCGTCTGCGTCTGGATGTGTCTCCTCCACCTCAGATCGTGCACTCTTCCAGAACAACGGAGACTGTCCTCCGATATTTTAGTTACTTTTCCCCAACCTTCTGCCATCAGACTTGCATTCTTCACAGGAAGTCCTTCTTTCTACAACAGATTTTAAGATTTTCTCTTTACTGGGCAGTTTCCAGGTCTCAGCTCTTTCTGGAAGGTTGCTGGCACCTTCTCTGCACCTCTGAGCCACAGTGGGCTCAGGTCTTCCATGCCTGCCGGCTCCCCAGTTCTCACTAGGACCACATCAGTGTACGGTTCACCCTCTATTTGTTTTTTTAAATAGCTATATTTTTACTTCCAGGATTGTTAGTTATTTGTCATATTAACCCGATATTCTTGGTTCTGAGGTGCCTCACTTCCTTTAACCTTTAGCCATCTGAGGGTTGAAGGCAGCTGCATTCATCTGCTATTTCCATGTCTTAGGAGCGGCTCCCCTCCACCTGTGGGCATGGTCGGCGCTCTTCCACAGGGGCAGCCTCACTGGGAGCAGAGCTCAAGCTGTCCTCCTGCTCCACCCCACCCCGTCACATGCCTCCCTCTCCAACCCCATTCAGAAGCAGGGGCTCCACCCTGGGCTCTCAGGCCATTGGCCCAGTGTCATCCTGAGGGCGTTATGTGCCTGTCCCTGGCGATCTGCTCAGCCTCCTCCAGCCTTAACTACCCTCTCAGCCTCCTTAAAAGACCAGACACTGCTCTGCATCATCCGTGGATGCCTTGACAAAGACGGTAAGAAGGGCAGTGAGCTCACTGGCACTCCAGACCTTTGAGCTCAGAGGAGGAGAAGCCACAGGACTCGGGATGGGGTCAGATGGGAAGCGGGCAGTGACAGTGCAGGGTCTGGAGTCTGGTCAGGCCGGGAGAGGACGACCCTCTGGAAGGAGAGGGCTCTACCCACTGGTCCTGGGGGCGGAGAAGCTGCAGGGCTCCCCCAGACCGGGAGGGCTCAGGGGGTGAAATGACCGGACTGGGTCACTCCGTCAGCAGGTTGTTCAAACCGTCAGCTGGGAAGTCCCCTTCCTTTGGGAGAGGGGCCCCAAGGTCCCCGCTCCTCATACCTGTCGTAGCTCCAGCAGTAGCTGAGGGTAGGCAGGACCCTGGCCAGAGTGCCTGTGGAGTGGGGGCTTCTCTAAGCTCCATCATGGACGCCCACCCCCGCCCTCATCCTGCCTGGTCTCAGACATGGCCAAGGGCACTGTGTGGGACAGAGATGTTTGCCTTATCACATGGGGGAGACCCGTCGTGGAGGTGCAAGCCATAGCTCTGTGATGGGGAGAGCACTCAACCAAGAGAGTTCTCAGGAGGGAACACAGATGCCACCACGAATGGGGCCCTGACCTACTTGCCCCCAGGGGCTACGGGGAGTGTGTGTCCAGATACAAGGAGAGCCAAGGGGCTGCTCGGCCAAGCCCCTGGAGGGAGAAGCCTGGGGACAGCTTTCCGCTGTATTTGCAAAGGACAAAGACAGCTGTAATCAGTTCCAGGTATCCAGCAGAGAGCTAATCGACAACTGAAGCCAGGGTTTCCCGGGACATCCACCTGCCCCTGGCAGGCTCCCAAGCCGGGTCCTAACCGGGGCCTGACATAGAGGCCCACTGTGCCTGTGTCCTCACGGGCACTGAGGGGCTGACGGCAGGCTGCCTCCCCCGCACCCACAAAGCCCCGCATCCACGACTTAGTCCAGAGCCAAGAGCCTTACCTGGAAGACAGTGAGGATGGCAGCAGGGAAGGTGTCAAAGTTGGTTGTCGGAGTCTCATCCTGGAAGTTGAACCTGAGAAGAACAAGGGTCTTGGACAGACAGAAGCAGGTCCACTGGGCCCAGGAGGGCTGGCATCTGGAGGCTGTGTCTGGGCCAGCAGCCCTTCTTAGGGCCTTTGTGGGGGAAGCAGAGTGGGAGCCCAGCAGTACTGTCCCCTGAGCCCTGCCCCTAGGGGGCCCAGCCTCACTTACTGCCCCCCAAAGAGCTGCATGCCCAGCAGAGCGAAGACCACGATGAAGAGGAAGAGAAGGAAGAGCAGGCTGATGATGGACTTCATGGAGTTGAGCAGGGACACCACCAGGTTCCGCAGGGAGCTCCAGTACCTGTGGGGAGGCCTGGTCCGAGCGCGCCAGGACACCGGGACCCCGAGGGCCACGCCTGCGGCTTCCGGCACCTCCCGCCCTGAGGGCCCCACACGCACTTTCTCCAGGGCCCCACACCCCATCTGCACTGCAGCCCACCACCCGGCCCAGGGTGACGGCAGAGACCGCACGGTCAGAGCTGGGCTCATGCGCACCTTCCACACCGGCTCTCTGGTCTCCCTCCCCCGCGGCTACACCTGCCTGCATCCCTCAGCTCCCCTAGGCCAGCACGGGCGAGTGAGGGCCACAGCTGCGTCCCAGCTGTGCGGGAGAAGGGGCCGCACTGGAGCGTCCATCAGCACCACCACCCTCAGCGAACAGGTTCGCACGCAGAGTCTCAGCGAAGCAGGCCAGGCTCGGGTGCCCCCCAGGGCCCGAGCCACGTAGCTCGGAGCAGCCCTCCAGGCTCAACACCCCTCCAGCCCACCCCTCAAACGCTCCTGGGGGCCAGAGACCACAACCCTCTCATTCAGCTGAACCCCTGTGCCTCACAGGCCCCCTGCAGTCTGCGGATAAGTCTTGCTGCGGGCTTGCAAATGGGTCCCTCCAGCTCCAACCCCAGGAGAGCCCAAGCCCCAGGGAGACACGCCATGTGCCTCTCTGCCTTAGCACTTGCTGTCCTCTGCCCTGGACTGGGAAGAGGCCTGGGGCATCCCTGAGCCCTCGTCCCCAAGGCTGTGTCACAGAGACCCACTACTCCCTTACTGGGTGCGTGAAAGTTAATAAGAGATGGGCTAGAAGACTCCAGAAAGCCTTCTCCTGATGGGCAAGGTCTAGGTCAGGACAAGAGCCACCCATTTCCAGGAGGAAATGGAGCTGCTAAGACGCCAGGCCCACAGCCAAGGTGCAGGTAGCACCGCACCACCTCCTCCTGCAGAAGCAGCGGAGGACGAGGGCAGGTGGTGGGAGCACCCAGAAGCGTCTGTAGGCCAAGCCAGACAGGAGTCCTATCCAAAGCTCCTCTGCATTACAACATCCTGACTTTGAAAGGCCTCAGGTGTGGATTTAAAACAGACCAGAAAAGATCTAGTCCAGCCTCCCCAGGAGGCTGAGGAAGTCACTGCAGGTGTTTGGAAGCAGGCCACCTGCATAGGCTCAGTCTGGACCATCCCACAGCCGTCATGAGCTGGGCACGTGCGGCCACATGCTCCAGGCGCGCCGGGCTGGGAGCCTCAGAGCCTCAGGGTGGCTCGGGACCCACGGTGGAGTCACTATGCCCACGGCCAGCAGGTGACAGCTGTGGCCAGGAGCATCCCCCTCCCACCACCGCTCTGGCAGAGACGGGGAGGTCCAGCGCCCTCACGGGCAGAAGGGAGCAGCCTTCCTCCAGGGCTGTGGAGCCAAGCGGGATGAACCTGAACACACAGTCAGGGCCGCGTCCTATCACTGAGGACGGCCGGCAGGCTCAGCCCTGAGTGGAAAAGGCAGGCCTGGGAGTTCAGGTCAGAAGGTCAGAGCCCTGCTGGGGCCAGGACAGGGGCTGCAAGGCAGGTAAGCAAACTTAGGGGCAGCAAGATAGGAAACCTCTATCTGATAACCTCTGTTTTCTCCATTAACCAGGGAACCGTCACCCTTAGAGGCTGAAAGATGGGCTTGTGGGTTTCAAGACAGGAGCCAGTGTGAAACTGTGAGGAACAAGCTAATGAGAAAACCAGAAATGCTGGGGCAGTGCTGAGGCTGAAAACAGCCCCGCGGATAGACAGGCCACCAGGGCCCAGATGAAATCACGCTGGGCTGCCAGCCTCACACTCGCTGCTTTGTGGCTGTTGTCTGTTTACCCAGTTAAAAGCCACAGGAAGAGACTCCGGACTGCTGAGCACAAGACCCCTGCTGCACATCCGTGTGCTCCAGGAGTGGGGGGAGTCCCCGTCCCTGAGCTCCAGGGCTGGAGTCACAGGCAGCATGGGAACTGGGCCAACAAAGGTGCTGCTCCTGGGGGCGTGCTCCACCACCCCCAGGGCCCCAGGAGGAGGAACTCCTCCCACCGACCCTGGGAGGAACTCCCCCTCCAGCCCTTGAGCATGTGGATAAGGAACTCCGCCCCCGAGCCCTGGAGGAACTCCTCCCCACCCCCGGAGCACAGGGGATCCCCTCCCCCCACCCCCAGAGCACAGGGAATCCTCTCCCCCTACTCCCGGAGCACAAGGAGGACAGTAATCCCCCCACCCCAGAGCACACGACAGGAACCACCGCCCCCACCAGCACACGGACGACATACTTTGTGACTTTGAAGATTCTCAGCAGCCGCAGCGCCCGCAGCACACTGATGCCGAAGGAGGTTCCTGGCTTGATGGCCGCCCAGACCACCTCGAAAATGCTCCCCACAATGACCTGCAACAGAGATGGGGTCGGCCCGGGGCAAGGCTGTGGCCACGTCTCTCCTGAAGCATCAGCCCTGGCTCCCCTGTCCGAAGCTCAAGCCAGATAAGTCAACATGAGGCAGGGGCCTCACACGGAGCTCCTGCAGCCTCTGGGAGCCACAGACGGTGCCTGTCCTTCTCCAGACATACCAGGAGGACACAGGACACAGAGCAGGTCTGGCCTGTGGGTTTCTGGGCAAATCTTAAAAAGACTCCTTGTGCAGTGCCGCCCCTGTGGTTTATCACAACCAGGTGACCCCTCTAGGCCAGCAAACCACCTCAGACAGCCTTGACTGTTAGGCTGTGTCCACACAGACCAGCAGACTCGGCTTCCTTGTAACATCCCCAGTTTGGTCTTGTCCCCTCCGAGATGTTCCAGTTCATAACTGTATATTGTCTTCCCCCAAATACTAGGAGCCAGCAAGTGCCACCAAAGACAGACGGGGACTAGCTTGCTCTGTCGTTTCACCAAGGCTCATCCCGATCACTGACCACACTGGTGGGCTGCGACTTGTGGGCAAGAGGCCTGCCCCCGCTCCAGTCACTGCCAGCATCAGTGTGTCTGGTGCGAGGGACTCAGAAAGGCCAGAGCAGTGGGGCTGAAGCACAGCAGATCCCTCGCCAACGGTGCCCAAATGGAGCTCCCTCCCTGGCGCTGCGCCTTGCGGGGCACACCACAGTCAGCGTGAGTGCTGTGTGCTCTTCGTGTGTGGTTAACCCTTACTCCTGCTAACCTGGCGTCTGCAGCTGGTGTGGAGAACTGCCCTGTGAACCTCAGTCTCCTGGATTCCACTTTGCTATGTGGCTCACTCGTCACCCAAGGTTTCAGTCACGCGCACCCATTTCATCGGCCTGACATCGGCACCCTCACCAAGCCTGGCAAACGGTGACTGATCAGGGGCAGCGGCCTCTGCAGGCTAATGCTGGCCCACGCCCTGCATGCCCGCTGTGCTGGCTGCACCAGCTCCAAGCCACCCAGACGCACAGCCTTCCGCTGCCTGCCTCCCCAGCCTGGATACAACACCCCACTCAGAGGACTTCAGACCTGCCCACAGCTGCTGCGTCCACTTTGACCCTACAGAGCAGCAAAGGGAATGAGCTTGTCATGTCTGCCCTTGGCACCCCAACCATCACCACCAATTTTTCTCAGCATCACATGTCCCCAGGGTTGAACGCTGTCATTTTCTAAATCTACTTTCTTCCCATTGTCAGTCTCCCAACATATCTCCTATTTTCCATTAATCCTCAACATTTGCTCACATTGGTTTATAATATAGGTGGCCTTTCAGATAGCCCCCAGTGATCCCACTGCCTGGGGTTCACCCCCTTGTTACCCCTGTCCCCTGGAAGGTAGGTTGGACCTAGTGAGCCACTTTTAGCAAACAGAACCCAACAAACATGATGGGATGGCACCTCCGAGAGGACTTACAGGAAGACTGGGGCTTTGCCTTGGTGCCCTCAGCCCGCTGAGGACCGAGGGCAGCCTGAGCAGAGGCCCATGTGACCAGCAGCCACCAGAGTGGGCTTGGAGAATGCCTTCCTGAGGTCTGTCAGCAGCCACGAGCGCAAGCTTGGAAGGCGCTCTCACTGAACCTCGTGAGGGACCCATGAGCCACAGCCGGACTGCCAACCCGCCAGAAAGAGGACAGACGCTGACTGCTCTAAGCCACTAAACCCTGGGGTAAACTGACAGCCAGAAAGGGAAGTCAACACCAACTCTGGCAGCAGGCGCATAGCGCCGCTGAGCTAGAAACCCGACGTGGGAGTAGCTCAGGACTAGGGGGCAGCTCGGAGCGAACGCCTCACCCGCCCTGAACACATCCCCGCGAGGGCTCTGGGCTCTGAAGACTCCGCAGGTCAGGTCCGCAGCAGGGCGAGGGGAGTCATGGGAGACTACAGAGGGGAGCAGACAGAGAGCCCCGCGGGGCCACGGCCACACGGACAGCAGGAAGCGTGCCTCCGAGCGGGAGCTCTGGCAGCGACACGGCCACGCGGCGCGTGCTGCCCCTGCCTGGTGTCTCCGCCGCTCCCCGTCTGTCCAGCCGAGAGGAGGGGGAACTGAGGGAAGTGCTGTTCAGTAAAGAGAGGCCACAAGTGGCTAGTTTGGAAAATGCTCAGACTCTCCAGAACAAATGAGGCCATGTTTAGAGATGGCATGCCATTTAAGTCAGAGCTAATGAGGTGGATGAATCGAGATCCTATTATACGGAATGAAGTAAGTCAGAAAGAGGAAGAAAATATCATACATTAACACACCCGTATGCAGAATCTAGAAAGACAGTACTGATGAACCTATCTGCAGGGCAGCAGTGGAGATGGAGACACAGAGAACAGACTTAAGGACACTGTGTGATCTGCATATCTGAAGTGATTGACCTTTCTCCCAGTAATCTTCATTCCAGCTTGTGATTCATCCAGCCCAGCATTTTGCACGACGTACTCTACATATATGGAGAAGGAAATGGCAACCCACTCCAGTATTCTTGCCTGGGAAATCCCATGGACAGAGGAGTCTGGTGGGCTACAGTCCATGGGGTTGCAAGAGTCGAAGAAGACTTAGTGACTAAACCACCACCCACCACCCCTCTGCATATAAGTTAAATAAGCAGAGTAACAATACACAGCCTTGATGTATTCCTTTCCCAATTTTGAAAGTCTATTTTTCAATGTCTGATTCTAACTGTTGCTTCTTGATCTGCATACAGATTTCTCAGGAGGCAGGTAAAGTGGTCTGATATTCACATCTCTTTAAGAATTTTCCACAGTTTGTTATGATCCACACAGTCAAAGGCTTTACCATAGTCAATGACCAACCTAGACAGCATATTATATGGCAGAACCATTACTTTGCCAACAAAGGTCCATCTAGTCAAAGCTATGGTTTTTCCAGTAGTCATGTACGGATGTGAGAGTTAGACCATAAAGAAAGCTGAGCACCGAAGAATTGTGCTTTTGAACTGTGGTGTTGGAGAAGACTCTTGAGAGTCCCTTGGACTGCAAGGAGATCCAACCAGTCCATCCTAAAGGAAATCAGTCCTGAATATTCATTGGAAGGACTGATGCTGAAGCTGAAACCCCAATACTTTGGTCACTTGATGTGAAGAATTGACTCATTGGAAAAGACCCTGATGCTGGGAAAGACTGAAGGCAGGAAGAGAAGGGGATGACCAAGGATAAGATGGTTGGATGGCATCACTGACTCTGTGGACCTGAGTTTGAGTAAGCGCCAGGAACTGGTGAAGGACAGGGAAGCCTGGTGTACTACAGTTCATAGGCTGCAAAGAGCCGGACATGACTGAGCAACTGAACTGAACTGAACTGATAGTCAATGAAGCAGATATTTTTCTGATCCAGTGGATGTTGCCAATTTGGTCTCTGGTTCCTCTGCCTGTTCCAAATTCAGCTTGTACATTTAGAAGTTCTTGGTTCACATACTGTTGAAGCCTAGCTTGAAGGATTTTGAGCATTATCTTGCTAGCATGTAAAATGAGCACAAAAGACAGAAAGTGAAGAGGAACTAAAGAGCCTCTTGATGAAAGTGAAAGAGGAGAGTGAAAAAACTGGCTTAAAACTCAACATTCAAAAAGCAAAGATCATGGCATCCAGTCTCATCACTTCATGGCAAATAGATGCGGAAAAAAATGTAAACAGTGACAGAGTTTTTTTCTTGGGCTCCAAAATCACTGCAGATGGTGTAAGTCAAAGTCACTCAGTCATGCCCGACTCTTTGCAACGTCACGGACTATACATTCAATGGAATTCTCCAGGCCAGAATATGGAGTGGGCAACCTTTCCCTTCTTCAGGGGATCTTCCAAACCCAGGGCTTGAATCCAGGTTTCCCACACTACAGGCAGATTCTTTACCAACTGGGTCACAAGGGAAGTCCAAGAAAGCTGGAGCGAGTAGCCTATCCCTTCTCCAGCAGATCTTCCCAACCCAGGAATTGAACCAGGGTCTCCTGAATTGCAGATGGATTCTTTACTAACTGAGCTATCAGGGAAGTCCTGCAGATGGTGACTGCAGCCATTAAATTAAAAGATACTTGCTCCCTGGAAGAAAAGTATGACAAACCTAGACAGCATATTAAAAAGCAGAGGCATCACTTGCCAACAAACCCAGAGCTATGGTTTTTCCAGTAGTCATGTATGGATGTGAGAGCTGAAGCATAAAGAAGGCTGAGCTCTGAATAATTGATGCTCTTCAACTGTGGTGCTGGAGAATACCCTTGAGAGCCCCTTGGACAGCAAGGAGATCAAACCAGTCTTGTAAAGCAATTATCCTCCAATTAAAAATAAGTAAACTTTTTAAAAAGAGAGAGATGACGCGGTCTAAAAATGAAGCCAAGGGCACAACAGTGTCAGGTATGCAAGATCCCAAAAGATGAAAGGTGGGTCTCAGGGCACATTCCACAGCTCTCTAGCCTTTCAAAGGGATGTAAAGTGAGCCTCCAAATGTGCCCCTCAAAGTCCTTTCCTTTCCAGGACGTGAAAGGGTGTTGACCTTGGCCATCTCAGCAGCAGCTCAGGCCAAGGAGGCTGATCTCTAAGAGTGCTGTGGGCACGGCTTCCGTCCAACAGAGGGAAACACAGGAAGACACACCACATTACGCTCTAAAGGATTATACGTGCAAAAACGTCACCAGCTTGGGTCAAAATGCAGAAAACAGAATGAGGCTTTTGGATTCCCCAAATTCCACTAAATATGAAGTAGGTCAAGAAAACCTCAGCTAGAATGTTTACCACTTTTAAGGAAAGAAGATCAGGGGACTCCCAGATCTAGAACTAGGGAAGGGGACCAGGGGGCTCCCAGTTCTAGAACTAGGATAGGGGACCAGGGGGACCCCAGTAACAGGAGGAAAAGGGGCAAGGCACGACTTCTGAAAGAATGACATAGCTCATAGACACAACATAAACCAATTAGAATCAAATGGGACCAAGAAGGCAAACAAGACTAAGCCTTGATCTTCAATCAGCAAGTGAAATGACACACCCAGAGGTGCCATGACAGTTCCAAGGCACTCGCAAAAGGCCAAGCAGTGGGCAGTGGCCCAAATCCTGGAAATCTCCACGCCTTCCCCAAAACAACTGAAATAATCCTCCCACCCATCAGCACATGAAATTACCCAGCCTGTAAGAACTGACCGCACCACGTCTCCCGGGCACACTCGCCCTCTGCGACGGCCCACAGCATCTGCAGAGGGCGCTTCTCTCCGACTCTGAGCACACCCACTTCTTACCTATCACTGTTCTCTCAGTGAATTCTTTCTGTGATGACACATCAAGAACCTGGGCTTCATTAGGTCCTGAAACCAGATACTGTGGATTTTGGTTGGGTTTGAGTCCCAGGCACTTGGGTTCAAGTCCCAGTCTGAGGTAAATGGTTTCAATCCCAGACCTAGAACTCAGAAAGGAGAGCAGGGGGATCTCATCCTAGACTAGAAAAGGGGACCAGAGGAATCCAAGACCTAGAACTAGGAAAGCAGACCAGGGGATCCCAGACCTAGAACCAGAAAAGGGGACTGGAGGATCCCAGACCAAAAACTAGGAAAGGGGACTCGGGGGGGCCCAGATCTAGAACTAAGAAAGGAGACTCAGGCTAATTCATTTCAATGTATGACAAAAACCACTGCAATGATGTAAAGTAATTAGCCTCCAACTAATAAAAATAAATGGAAAAACAACAACAACAACAACAAAGAGACTCAGAGGGCTCCCAGACCAGTAGGCAGGAAAGGGGCCCCAGGGGCCACCTGGACCTAGAACTAGGAAAGGGGCCCCAGGGGCCACCTGGACCTAGAACTAGGGAAGGGGACTCAGGGGCCACCTGGACCTAGAACTAGGGAAGGGGACTCAGGAAGCTCCTAGGACTAGAACTAAGAAAGGGGACCCAGGGGGTTCCTAGACTTGAGCACTAATCAGGGATTTCCCCAGTGTTTGCTGGGCTCCAATCAGCCCTTCCATATGTCCAGTGTCCCTATTTTGAACAGGAATGTGTAGAACAGCTACCCCTGCCCACCCTCCACTGTAATGCTGCATGTGGGGCTGGATAGCTTGTCTCTCTCGTCTCATGGCTCTAAGATCTAGAGAAACTGTGGAGCCTCAACCAGACCTGGGTCCAATTTGGATGACGAGATTCTGCCTTTGAGCTGATGCTGCAGTAGGGTGAGTCGGGGAGTGCAGGTGAGTGTATCTTTCACGGGAAGAAGCTGGATCAGAAGACCGTGGCAGGCAGCCCTGAGGACAGCCCCCACAGACCCCTGAATCCTGGTAACATTCTCCCCCAGGAAAGGTGGGCTGGCCCACTGACTCCCTCGTGACAGGTACAATAGCACAGCTGGCAGCTCTTTCCCCTGCGACTGCTGTCTGCGGCCTCTGTCCGGTACTCATGTCGTGAGTTCCGGCGTGGTGAGGACCCTCAAGCAACCCACGGAGAAGCCGCAGCACTGGGGGGCATGGCCAGCCACCCACCACAAGCCAGTGTTTTCAGCAGTCTCTAATGGGCCTGAACATAACCCTCCAGTCTTAGTCAAGCCTCAGGCTGGCTGCACCCCTGGCTTCAGCTGGACTGTGACCTCATGAGGGACCCCAGGCCACAGGTACCCTGTCAAGCCACACCTGGACACCTGACCCTTAGGAACTGTGAGATAATAGATACTTGTTTTAAGCTAATAAGTTCTGGAGTAACTGTTAGCTTATATGCAAATTACTCCCTGTCCTGGGACCTAGCTGGTTCCCAGATGACCATCTCTGCAGGCTCCTCCCTGACTGGGTCCCCTCTGCCTACACACGCCAAGCTTTCTCTTTTCCTTTGTAACCAAGAAGGCAAAGGAGCAGAAGCGTTGGCTTGCTCCCAACCGCCCGCCAAAGTCACAGGTGCCGCGTGTCCCAGAGAGCACTGAGGCAGGCACTGCCTGCCCCGCCGAAGCGCAGGCAGCGTGGCAGTGTATGACCCCCTCCCTGGGCTCCAGTGTGGACCATCCTGCATAGGAGCTGGGCAGCCCTGGGCCCATCACACAATGTCCCCAGTCATTCACGTGAAGTGAGTCATCGTGAGGCCCTGACAAAGTCACAGACCACGTCTGTCGGCTGCACTGCATCGCGGAGAGGAAATGGTAAACTCCATTTCAGGTCGAAGCTTCCCTTTGACCAAGGTCCAGCCTCCCTGCCTGGCTACTGAGAAGCCTGCAGACGTGCGAGGCCACCTTGGGCTGAGGCATGGCCGCTTCTCACTCGGGCCCTCCACCAGGTCAGAACTCGGCCGTGCGCAGGTGTCAACAGTGCCCATCCTCGGGCTCTGGGATCAGCACAGGGCAGCACCCTGCACAGCTGCAGGGCCCGGGGAAGGGGCTTCCGCACCGCCCAGGGCCTGTGCTCATCCACGGTGAGCCTTGGAAGCACCTGCCTTCCAGGCCTCCCTCACTGCAGAGGCTGCTGAAGGGACCTGGGCCCACTGCTCCCCTCCGGCCTCCCAGGAAAATCTGGTACATGTGTCCAGGCCTGCCCAGGCCAGACCTACAGGATGGGGTCAGGAACATAGCCTCCTTGAGCCTCCATGGGATAGCAGCAGCACATTTAAAAGATCATCTACCAAGCGCGGAGGAGGCCACAGAGGCTTGAGCTGATCTTGAGACTACAGACAGGTCGGAAGGGAAACGCGGCTGCCCCGTGGCCAACACCCGCACGGGTAAGCACCTGACCGGGATGGGCCTCCCCCGTCTGCAGGCTGCCTTTCCGACCCGGGGGGATCAGTCCCCCAACCCATGGACTCTGCTCCAGACCCCAGCTCACACTGGACATGGCATCGCGGGAGCGGGCTGCCTGTGCTCTCAGGCCAGGACACAGTGGGCCCACCTGGACCCACAGTAGGCATTCCCTGATGAGGCAGCTTACTCACCCCAAAATCGAAGCAGTTGAAGGAGGACCGGAAGTAGCTCCTGGGCCCCAGGCCATACATCTTCAGGGACATCTCTGTGAGGAAGAGACCCAGGAAAACAAACTCTGCAAAGTCTAGGAGAAGCCGGAGAAGAGGGGGATTAGCTCGCGGCCTCCTCCTGCCTGGCTCAGTCCAGACCGGAGGACATCAGACCTCTGGGCCGATCCAGGGGGCAGCTTCCAGGCCTTCTCTGTGGCTCTGAGCTCCAGCCTCAGCCCAGGACAGAGCAGCAAGCAGAGAGGACGTGATGCAGAGGTGCTCCTTCCAGCTTGCAAGGCGAGTGCTCAGTGCCCTGGGACATGGAGGCAGGCTCCCAGGACCAGGCTCGGGAGTGAGTTCTGGGTCGAGGGCCCAAGTCTCCCAAAGGACTTAGGTGGTCAGGCAGGAGGCCACCAACCCTCCGGAGATGCTGGACAGCCTTGAACCCTTCCTGCTCCCTTCAGTCTCATTCCCTGATCCACACACTGACTGCAACTGGAGTCCCTCTGCGAGGACCCTGGGACAGAACGCCAGTTCCCCTGCAAGGACCTCCCTGACCCTCTTGGACTCACAGCACCTTGTTTGGTTTTAACTCTGTTCACGGGCTCACCCCCACTAAAGGCAAGCATCCTTACCACCTAACACCCCCAGACTCCCACAGTACAACTCTCCCAGGAGGCACCCACACTTGCTAGGGGCCCTGGGGAGTCACATAGAGACCCCTGTGGGTGTGGTGCCTTCAGCTTCCTGCAGGCTGGGCCCGGCAGGTGGTGGTGGTGAGCAGGGCCTGCTTCAGCACAGGGATCCTGCCACTGGCAGTGCTGACCCTGCTGCAGGACTGGGGGGGAGGCCACACTGGACCTGAGGGTCTTCCTGGGAATTCAAGGCACAGAGACACTACCCAACCCAGCCTGAGCAGAAGGCAGGGTCAGAACAAGAAGAACAGTCCAGAAGGTGTACGAGACCGCAGACTGCAGGAGACACAGCCAAGCTTAGCCCCTGACTGGCTGGCCAGACCAGGAATTCCAGGCATCAGAACAAGGTCGCTGCTTTTGATCCTCTGCCCAAAGCTGGAATCCATGCATCATTTCAGACAGTGAGCCAAAGGCACTGTGGCCTCTGACCCCAGAGCATGGGGCCAGGGAAGTAGTGGAGCATGAAGGGCGGAGCCCCCACAGAGGGCCAGGGACACAGGGGTCCAGTCGCCAGGCAGTCACTCGCTCGGTGGCCCCAGGGCCTCTGGCATCCAGACTGGTTGGGAGACTGGCCCTCAAGCAGCTTCTGCTCAGACAGATGGTGGAAGAGAGGGTCACACACTTCCTGCCCTCTGTGTGCACCCTGAAACTGTTCTCCCCCATGTGCCGCACAGGCACACAGGCCTCCCAGGCAGCTCTGCAGCAGCTGAGACCCCAGTCCCACTGCCCACTGGGCAGCGCGCCTCACAGACGTGTGATGGTTCACACGGCTCAAGAAGGTCTTGGGTAGGCGACCCAGGTATAATCAGCACCTTCCTGGCCCCTGAAGCCAGTCCAAACGCCAGCAGGGTGCCCGAGCCGTGCCCAGGATGAGTAAGGCGACAGCACGGCAGCCCTCCTGGAGAAGCCATGTGAAGGCTGTGCCCCGAGTCCAACTTGGGACATGAGCCCCTCGGCCCCTGCACTCCAGGGCCCCACAAGGGGAGCTCAGGTCTTGGAGGAGAGACCACAGAGATGGGGACCCCAGCCGCCCCACCCAGACCTTGGAGCTGAAGCTACCCAGTGGCCCGTCTTGCTCCCAGGAGATCAAAGTGGGAGCCCTTTATTAGAACCAGCCCAGGAAGTGCTGAAAGAGAAGCTTTCCAAGAAAGGGGACACCTGGAACACAGCCTCCACAACATACCCACTCCTTCCCTCTCCCAAGGAAGAGACCCTCCATTTCATGTGCTCAGCCTCCCCTCAGGCCAAGAAAGGGCATCCACATGTTCCTTCCTATTCATTCAGCTTGCAGGCCCTTGCACTGCCCTGAGCTGTCCCCAGAGACAGCGGACCCCTCCTTCCAGATCACGGGCTAGGGGAGCAGAGCAACTACATTACACAGTGTCTGCGTTATAACAGGAAGACAGCAACCATGGGAACAAAGGGACAGAGGAGAGGGTTAGCCCTGCCAGACCCAGGGGTTCACGGCATGGCAACATCCACTCCCAGGCCCCCTTCACCAACTGAGCATCAGTCTCAGGGTCCTTAGTGCCTTGGGGTGGTGCATTTGACGGGCAGACGGCGAGGTGCATGGCCAGCCTCAGGCCAGAGACCCATGGTGAGCTCTGATGAAGGTGGTCCTGAAGCGAGCCCCCACTTCCGCCTCTGCCTCCTGCAAGGCCTGCCCTCCCGAGCTGGGTCAGCCTGCCTCAGTTCCAGCCCAGCTGTCAAGGGCAGAGCCCGGGGCACTGAGCAGATGCCTCCAGACCCAGCAGAGGCCAGCCCTCCCTCCAGCCATTTTCCCTGGGGGATGCTGATGCACGCAGGAGTTTCCAGGAGACCACAGAGAAGATAAGGCAGTGAGGGGGCAGATTCGCAGCCAGGGACGCCTGCGGCCCGGCCAGCACCTCGGCACTTCCAGCCTCGTGCTCCTGACATCAGACACACAACCAGGCTGTGCAGGCCCCTTCCAGCCCACTCATAGGACAAATCTCCAGGAAAAAGGAGCAACCACAAGACAGAACGGGTACCATCAGCTTCTTGTAGGAAGAAAAGGCCTAGCTGGGAAGCCCCAGGGAGCAGCCACACCACTGGCCAAGCGAGGAGGAAGCCCTGTCTCCCCAGCCCCTGCCCAACCCCTGCCCAGCCCCCAGGGGTGGGAACCACAGCCTGAGGACTCAAGGAGACACTGAATTCAGTCCCTAGCCAGGCCCCACACCAAACCACGGTCCCAGGACACATGAGTCAGGGGCAGGGCGCCCGGCTCAGTGCACACACTTTGGTTCCTTAGCCCGCCCTCCCCACCCGGGAGCCAGCTGGGGCCCCTCCTGCTTCTCCTCTCTCTGCCCTTTCCCACCATGCCAGCAACGGATTGCAATTGAAGTCTGGAAAACAGCCTGGAGCCAGCCCCCAACACAGCCCTCACCACCCACATTTTCAAGTGACCCAGGGAGCCCAAAAGAACCCAGCAGCAGCAGCCCAGGCTCCTGGTCAGAGCTGCCTAGGCTCCGTGTGGCTGGCACATTGGGGGCCAGAACTGGGAGCCAGGAGGCTTCTCTGGAGAAAGGCTTTCTTGGGCATCTAGGTGACTGCACGCACGCAGGGAAAGGGAGATGGAAAGGGAGAGAGGGAGGCACGTGTAGAAGCCCAGAGCAGGCTCTGTCCAGATCAGCCACTAACAGGAGCAGGCTGAAGGCAGCTGACCCCAGGGAAGAGGCAGGAGGGGCCCCTGACCGCAGGACAGAAATCATTCATGCAGTGTCTCTGGAGCTCTCCTGAGGCAAAACAAACAAGCAAGACCTTTGGTTGCACATGCCCTGCAGGGCCCTTGGGTGTGAAGGAACCTGGTCCCTGGGAAGGGGCCTCAGCTCTTCGCCTCCTTGGAACTGTAACCAGGGCCAGACAGGTCACGACCCAGAGCCCCTGCCGTGTCCTGAGGCTCATGGACATATTTGCAAGTAATCCCTGGTCATAGACACATCCAGATTCAACCAACCAAGAAGAAAAACAGAAACAACTAGAAGAGCCCTGGGAGACCCCTGGGAGCCAAGACTCTTTCTCTTCAGGAATCCAGGGCAGACGGATCCCTCAGTCCCTGGGTCTAAAGCCCTTGGGGCAGGAGACATCATCCCAATTCCCCAGACCCCTCACTCGTTTCCCACTACACTGACAGACGGGGTCTAAGCAGACCAGCCCGGCCTCCTGGAACCTCGGCCCAGGCCTGGGCACAGTCAGGCCTCCAGCAGAGACGCCCCCGGGGCACTTTGGTCGGCACAGGGGTCCCACCCAGGGGACCCCAATGCCACATGCTGTGGACTGGCAGTGGATCACAAGAGGTGGGGCCCAGGAGGGCAGGGCCCAGCTACGTACACAGCGCCGTGGTGAGCCGCTGCGGCTGGTGGTAGTGCACCATGGCCACGCACAGTGTGTTCAGGGCCACCACGCACAGCACCACCCAGTAGAAGCTCTGGGCCTTCACCAGGCGCCGGATGAAGAACCGGAACATCTTCTCCTTCCTGCGGAAGTATGACGAGCTGTCCGTCTTCCCACTCTTGAGGCTGGCTCGAGCGAAGGGGGACCCTGCAGGAACAGGGGGCTCGCTGAGGGCGTGGGGGACCAGTGGGCCCCAGGACACACTCTCCCTCTGCCAGTGTGGGGCCTGCAGATGCACCCTCCAGGATATGTGTCTCCCACCCCACAAGGACACTTGCCCTGGCCTGGCTCAAGGCACCAGTTTCCAGCACTGTGCTAAAGGCCCCTGCGCCCCCTGGAGTGGGTCCTGGCCACACCCCTGCTTCACAAATGAGGGAACCAAGAGCCTGGGTGGTCTCCATAGCTGCTGGGCTCTGGCTGGGAGGCCTGCACTGAAACAGGCCTCTGGTCCCCAGCGCCCCAGCCACCTTACAGGAGGGTAGTCCCCATGGTCCCAGGCCACTCTGATTCCTGGGAGGGAGTCCTGCTACTTCCGGCCCTTCCTCCCTCTGTAGCTCTGGGGCCAAGAGCCACTGATCACCTGCTTTTCTAGGAGCTGTTCTGGAACACAGCCAAGCTCCTTCATCTGTGTCTGGCCCGGCTGCAGATTGTGGCCCACAGAGCTCAGAAAGTCTGCCCAGGAAGCTGCTCCTCTGCCCCGACTCACCCGCCAGACCCAACTGCCCTTTCCCACTCCCATGCCCACGGCCCCTGCACTGCCCGCCTGGGGGAGTGCCTTCCCCCCGGCTCCTCCTCAGCTCCAAGGTCAGCATTCTCCAGGCTCCAGTAACAGGCTTCAGTGCCCCAGCGATCACACCCTAGTACCAACTGCTCTGCGTGAGCTTATCAGTCTGTTCCGTGCCCGAGCCCCACATCAGACTGAGCTCTGGGGGGCAGGGCTTCCCTCTGCGCCCCCAACCCCTTGTGCCGTGTGAAAACTGCACGAGCAGACTTCGTGGGTGCCTGGAGGCCCTGAGTGCCTCCGAGTGCTCAGATGCAGACGGCTCTGAACATCTGGGCTGGCTGCAGTCCCTGGGGAAGAAGCATGTGAGCGTGCTGCATGCGGGCATATTTGCACAGGGGTGTGTGCATGTGCAGACTCAAGAGCATTTTCAGGCTGTGTCTTCTTGAATTCACTAAATGAAGATGGGCCGAGGCCTCTGGAGCAGCTACATCACACAGAGAGACTCTGCACCAGACACAAGATGGGTCCTGAGGAGTACCTGTCAGTCAGCCCTTGGGGGCGGGGCAGGGCCCTAATGGGCAATTCCCAGCACTCTAGATGCCACACCGACACCCCATCCACACCTGTGGAAGACACTCTTCCCATCACAGCCTCTGGCTGAGCCAGGACACAGCTCCCAGTCCATGACCTGACGCCAGCCAATGCCGATCCTCGTGACTGGCTCATCCAACAAAACCTCTCGGCCAGCATTGCCAAGGGCTGCAAAATGCCAAGGCCACAGCCAGACACACCCACTCCCTCCTCCAAGACAGCCATGGGGCAAAGAGGGAAGACAGGGACCCAATACAGACAAGGAGAGGCCTGCACACAGGCGGAGCCCACACAGACCCTCTGGGGAACCCACACACTCAGAACCCCCAGACACTGCCATTTAGAAACAGGGTCACACACATGCACAGCACACCCCAATGCTGACCACAGCCCCAAAGACACACTCAGACTCACACGGGCGCACACCTGCGATCACACACAGGTCCACTCTGGGAAGGCAGGTCAAGAGAACATGTGATTCAAGAAAGGCACTTTGTGCACACACGTGGCCAGTGAGACAAGCAACACATTCTCCGGGGAGACTCCCTGCTGTACATGCCCCGTGAGGCCAGCTGGCCCCGCCCAAGAGGGCCTCAGGCCTGCTGTCTTCTCACACGCCCAGGACCGTGCTGGATCCCTGAGGACAGGCGGCATTTCCCACGAGCAGCGCCTGTGTGCTCACAGCAGCTCTTTGGTGAAAGGAATGGTTTGCAGTAGAAGTGAAAATGTGTCACAGTCAGAATCCCTGCTTTGGGTGGAAACGTGCGACGTCGGGACTTCTAGGCTTTGTACATTTTCTAGGTTCCACTTAATCAGCACATATTCTTCATGATAAAAAGGCTTATTTCACAAAAAATACACATCTTCAAGCTGGGGGCAGTCGAGAATGAATGAACTATGAGTGACAACAGAATTAAGCCCCAGTTAGAATGACATGGGTGCCTGTGCACATGTGGGGTCTTTGCACTGTGCCCAGGCAGGGTCTCATCAGTCAACATAATCTCTACATCAGCCTTACTTAGCCCCTCCCTTCGACGACTGCCCTGAGTGGGGCACAGAAACACAGGGTAACCATGACCTGCCCCTGCCTCCACCAGTCTACCAGGGCACAGATCACAGATCACAGGTGACAGGCAGGAAGTGCAAGATCCCTTCCTGCTTAGCAGCTGCATTCCTTGGTATGAGAGGCAGAAGTGATGTGGACTGGACACCAGGCATGTGGACATGAACCCTGTCCACCCAATAGGCACATGACTGGCATATCCTCGCAGCTGAAGAGTCCTCACTGGAAACAGATATGGTGTCTCATAGGGTTCTGGGAGTTAAGGAAAATCATGCAGGCTGGCCCATCAGGCCTCAACCAGCAGCCAGCATGGAGCTGGGGGTACCCAGGAGGTGCCAGGCCCTATATCCAGACCTGAGGGAAGCAGACCACCTGCAGAGCCTGAGGCCCTGAGTGCAAGGAGACCCTTGGGCTCTGCTGGGGACTTGGAGCAAAGTCTACAAGGTCCCAGATATGGCACAGAGCCAAAACAACCAAAATAAAACCAAGAGAGAAAATAAAACTCCTCCCAATCATTCAGCAGATGAAAAGAAAGAAGTTCACTCTTAAAAACCCAAACTAGGAGCCTGAAGATGCAGCAAAGCAATGTCTTAGATAAACATATACAGGAAATATAAGGAGGAAGAAATCAAAGGAAAGGGCTGAGAGACACAAAGGAGCAAAGGAAGAGGTAACACAGAGTGACAGGAATTCCAGGAGCAAAAAGAAAAAGGAAAGGAGGTTAAATAACTGAACAAATGGAACAAAACATTCCTCGAGTAGGAAGACCTGAGCTGCAGGCTGAGAGGCCCCCTGGGCTTCAGACCCCAGGAAGAGGGCATTGCAGATGGGGCCGCGTCTGCAACCAGGACACTAGGAACAGGAAAGTGACCCCCGCAGAGCAAGAGCCAGCAACCACGGCAGCCAAAGCTCTCTTGTCGTGAGAACAGCAAAGGACGCCTGAGCACGTGCAAAAGCCAGTCACTCACCCTCACGCCGTCCAAGCGGAAGGCTAAGGACAGCAGAGCCCAGAGCGGGCAAACCCCGCTGGGACACAGTGACTGCAGGGGAGAGGACGCCCTCTGACCGCTCAGCGGGAGGGCCACCGCAGGCACTAATGACCCAGAGAACGGGATCCCCAAGACAGTCTCACCAGGAGTGGGGGCAAGGGGGAAAACACTGCAAACACTTACTGGGTTGAGGGTGGGGCAGAGAAATGGGAAATACAGCAATTCAGTTATGCAAATACTACATCTTGGTGGTAAAGAGGATAGAAAAACACAAAAATAGTAAAGAAGATGTTTCTAATTCTGGGAGCAGGGATGGAAGGTCATCATTTGTGGAACAGAAGCAGGAAGAATCGGAAATTAGCAGAGGGGAGAGCATGATGAACAGCAACCTGGTCAAAGAACAAAGCAGGAAAGATAGAGACCACAGTATCAAACATCGACACCAAATATCAAAGGAGGAGGAGGAAGAAGTCACAGATGCCAACCCTCACACTAAGCAGAGACAGGCTGGACTCCCCCATTAGGAACAGAGACCATAAGACTAGGTTAAAAAAAAAGCAAAACCCAGCTAAATGTTGTTTGTAAGAAGAACATTTAAAATACTTAACATGATAAAGAGTTGAAAATGAAAGGAAAAGCAAAGATACCAAGCAATGCGAACTAAAACCCAAAAATAATGGTAGTAATGAAAAGTAAGACATTTGCTGTCAGACAAGGAATTGTCCAGTGGAGGAAGTAAACAGATAAAGAAGGTATTGTGTGATGATGAAACACATGATTCACAAAGAAGATGTAACAGCCATAAAAATATATAGTGGCCAAATATATAAACAAAAGCCATGAGAAATACACAAGGAAGCATCAAGAAAATGCAAATCAAAACCACAAGATTTATCACCTCACACTTGTCAGGATGACTACTTCCACAAAGACAAATGACAATGTTGGTGACAACATGGAAAAATTGGACCTTTGTGCTCTGTTGATGGAAACGTAAACGAAGAACAGTACTGTGGCTCCTCAAAAGTGAAAAATAAAACTACCTGATGACCCAGCAATCCAGCTGCTGGGGAGACTATATCTATCTCTCTATCTTGGGCTTCCCAGGTGGCAGTAGTGGTAAAGAATCCACCTGCCAACGTAGGGGACATAAGAGATGCGGATTCAATCCCTGGGTCAGGAAGATCCCCTGGAGGAGGGGAGACAACCCACTCCAGTTCTCTGGCCTGGAAAATCCCACGGACAGAGGAGCCTTGCGGACTATAGTCCACAGGGTCACAAAGAGTCGGACATGTCTGAGTGAGCACAGCATGTATCTGTATATATATCTGCATCTATATAGAGAGAGGTCTCCAAAATAACTGAAATCAGAATCTTGAAGGTATCTGAGCTCTCCCATGTTAACGGCAGCACACTTCACAAAAGGTAAGACATAGAAACAACCCAACTATCCGCTGAGAGCTGATGGATGGAGAGAATGCGGTCTGCACACGGCACAGAGTACTACTCAGCCTTAACAAAGAAGGAAGTTCGGCAATGTGTACCCACACGGATGGGCCTTGTGGATGTCATGCCAAGTGAAATGAGCTACATTCAGAAAGACAAATACTTCATGAATGATTGCACGCAGATGAGGGATCTAAAATAGTGAAATTCATTAAGCCAGAGACAGGACAGTGGTGACCAGGGGCTGCTGGGTGGGGCTGGAGAGTGGAGAACAGGAACAGGCTCCAGTGAAGCAGGATGGACAGGCTCTGCAGACCTGCTGCCCAGTGCAGTGCCTGCAGCCAACAGGAACACAGCGTTCCCTTTACATGTAAGAGCATGGACCTCGTGATGTGTTCCAATCATACACACACACACACACAACTTTAAGAAAAAAATACAAAAGAAACTTATTAATAAAAAATGAAGTGGGAATGTTCCAAACACCTCTTTCAGAACTGAACAGATTTAGTAGATAAAACACAAAGTCCTAAAGAACTGGAAAACACAGTAAACAAACTTGACTCTGAGATACACATAACCTGATAACTCTCAAAAGCAGAGCATACACAGAGCATGCTTCTGTCAATGAAACTTTCTAAAGTCAATCATGAAGTTGGAATTTGAAAACTTCTAAATGTAGAGATTTACTGGCCACATTTCCCAACCATTATCTGATAAAATTAGACATAATAAAAAGATGGTCAAAATATTGCTGCTTATAACTCAGAGGCACATTCCCAGATAACCTTTGCCTCAAGACGAAAGTAAAAAAATTGTTATCTGGAAACAAATACAGAGGGGACATCATAGCAAAGCTCTGTGCAGAGGAAAATATGCAGCCTTAGCTGCTTTTGCTGTTGAAGAAGAAAGAAAAAAGAACAAGTTACACATTTTAAGAAATTAGAAAAATAATAATAAAATAAATCAAAATAAAGTAGAAAGATAAACCTAATAATGACTAAATATAACAATAATAAAAATGAAAACAAAAAATATAAGGAAATCTACAATCTGTTTGTTTTAAATGATCATTAATACACACTAAGCTTACATGATCCTAATTAAGTAATTAACAATCAAAGATAAATATACTGACAACCAGAAAAAAGCAAAACCAAACTCGACAGAATCTAGTCCGTCTCAGAGCTCTAAATACCTTCTGCAGCCTGAATGCCAGCCCCTAACACATAAAGTGCCCACCTGACACCCCCACAGCATTTTCAACATGCATCTCAAACTCAGCACAAACTCTGAACCAAATCCTAGTCATTGTCCCCCAAAATGCATGGGTTTCCGGTCCCATCCTCTTGGGCAGGGCTCCTCTGTGGACACTCCCTGAGGAGCTGTCCTTGATGTCTCTCTCTGTCTCATCTCCACGTCCGACTGGTCAGAAATCCTATAGGCTTGTCCTCAAAATAGATCTAGAATCCAACTACTTAGTACCCCCGCCCCCAGTGCCGGGGTCCTCACAGCAGCCCCTGACTTGGGCCTGCCCTGCCCTCTCTGCATGGCGAGCAGTCTTCAGCGTCCCCCTGCAGCCAGATGCCACCCTCCTCTGCAAGCCGCCGTGGCTGGCAGAGTCCGCACTGGGCTCCAGCCCCCCGGGTGCTCTCGTTTCGTCCCCTGTTGCCCCAGCCCTCCACTCTGCTCCAGCCACACTGCCTCCTGAACTCTCCTGCCTCAGGGTCCTCTCACCTCTCTCGGGGATGCTCTATGCTCTGGTAAGTTCACCTGCTCATTTCTTCAGCTTTTTACTCCAAGGCGACCTTCCCAGGGCCTGTTGTAGCCACTCTGTTTAAAATCCCTACAGCCTCAGACCCTTCGAGCCCCCTCTTTCTCTACTTTTTTCCTTTTCACACCTAGCACTGGAATGGAAACTCCAAAGATGAAGGCTTCTGCACCTTGCTCATTGCTATAGCCCAATGCCCCAGGCAACTCCCAACACATCTGGGCACTTAGTATCTGTTGAGTGAATGGACCAGCAAAGAACTGAATGAAGGAGAGATGAGAATACAAGAGAACTCTACATGCAGTTCTATAGAAACAAGCTTGAAAGGTGACAAAATGGAATATTTCCTAACAAAATATAACACTGATCCATACTCTTCTCCCTGGTGGCTCAGACGGTAAAGAATCTGCCTCAATGTGGAAGACAGAGGTTCAATCCCTGAGTTGGGAAGATCCCCTTGAGAAGGGAATGGTTACCCACTCTAGTATTCTTGCCTGAAGAATTCCATGGACAGAGGAGTCCATGGGGTCACAAAGAGTCAGACACGACTGAGTGACTAACACATTCTTTTAATTTCTTAATTGGATGGGTTCACATTTTTATTTTACCTTTAAAGAACAGATAATTTAGGTGTTATTTAGGCTATTCCAAGCTACAGGAAAAGATTTTTTTACCTCCCTAATTCATTTTACAAAATCACAATAAAAACTTTTTTAAAAAAAACTTTAGGTAAAATAAGAATAGAGGGACCATTTAAATATTAACACTCACAATAAATTTGAAAAAAATTAAAATTCAGATCCACAATATATATTGGTCTCCTGTTAACAAACACAAACAACCCAACAGAAAAGCGTACAGAGTACATGAAAATTCACCAACACCCAAATTCAAATGGGAAACAAGCATTTAAAAAGAGCTTCAAAATCACTAGCAGTGAGTGAAATGAGAATTAAAACTGCCACAAAATACCACCGTATAATCATCAAATTCCCCTCAAACTAGGAAAAGCCAACAGTAGCTGCAACCTCCAGGCAGGACGGGAACAGAGTCGTCCCTGCGCCGGGGTGAGCGTGTGGCCACAGACCCTCCGGACGGCAGCGTGGCAGCAGCGCTGGAAGGTGCCAGCACACCCTCACTGCAGCAGCCCCGCTGCTGGGACCCAGCCCGCGGGGGCAACAGCTCTGCCGAGGAGGGACAGGTGTTTAAGCAGCTGGTCACAGGACAGCGGGCACCACACCATGGACCCCATGAACACCATACAGAAGCAAATTCTAATTAGACCAGTTGATCAGGGTGGGGGGTGCTCCAAGAGGCACTGATGAGAAAATTTTGTATGAAACTATTTCTGTAGTATGAAAAGACCCCAAACGTCTACAGTAGGTATGTGTGCATCTGTGTGTGGAGGGGTGGAGGGTGGTATGAGTGTTATCTGAGATGAGCGTCTCGAAACAGGAAGGATAAACCCCAAACTATTGACATGGGCTCTCTGAGGACAGAGAATGGGAAGTATAAATAGATAACAAGTACACAAATGACTTATTAGAGAGCTCAGTCTTACAAATGTAACAATGTAACAGGAAGCAGCTCCTTCAACTCCAGTCCACTCAGGACTGCTGGAGAGCAAGGAGGTGCGTCCTGGACCTGACTTGGGGCCTGTAATGCAAAGCTGTCATTGCCAAGTGCACCCCTCCCCATGCCGCCCAAGGTGGAGGCCCAGGGCAGAGTCCTCCTCGGCCACAGAACGCACAGCCTCAGGGCATTCAGTGGGAAAGGCCGAGGCACTTCAGGTGCTCGGCTTCTGGCACCAGGCTAAGAGGAAGGGAACTAAAAGGATGAAAGAACCAGCTTTCCCTTTCACTCTTTAAGAAGCAGGGGCTGAAGCCACGGCCTCAGAGGCAGCAGACCCAAGGAATATGGAAGATACACAGAGCCTACAGGAGAGATATGAGAAACCTGAACTCCCTACAGCAGTGACACACACCCCACGGCCTCGGGCTGTGCCAGGGGGCTCCAGTCCACACAGGACCGCAGAGTCAAGAACACCTGGGGGCCAGCAGTGTGCTGAACGGAAGGAGCAAGAGGCGCGAGCAAAGCAGAGTTTCTAGGAGCCGTGCACGCAGCCCGCCTCAAGGCCCGGCCCCAGGAAGACGTCTCTGCACTGGATGCTGTATCTCCTACTGTCTGGCAGACACACCAACCTGGGGCTGACCAACCAGCTGACTGACTTGGGGGTGGGGGAGGTGGGGGAGGAAGGGAAGGAGGGAAGCCAGGGCGGCGGGGAGGGAGCAGGTGCCCACTCCGCACAGCACACTCCCACAGACTCACCCACAGCACAGAGGTCTACAAAGCGGTCCTCTCCCTCCTCCGCGTGGATCAGGTCGTTTCGGCTCTTCTTGGTGGCTGCTCTCTTCAACACTGCTTTAAACAAAGGGTGGGCAGGAGGCATGAGTGCAACCCGGCTGGGCGACCTGCCTCAGGGCTGGGCTATCTCTCAGTTGCCCACTCCCTAATCTTCAGGAACGAGCAGCCTCTCCAGATCCCCTCTCCTGAAGCCAAGGCTGGCGGCAGGAAGGACGATGCCTGGCCCCCATGGCCCCTCTTGGGCCTCAGATCAAAAGGGACAAGGGATTTTGAGGTCCTGCTTGTCTTTCTCTCCATGATGATGTCTGTGGGGAAGGCCTGGCTGCCATGGAGACCAGGAAACTTCCAAGTGGGGGCAAGGCCAGGGCTGTAGCCAGCTGCCCCAGGAGCCCGCACTCCAAGGCCAGGCGAGACAGGAGAGATGAACTCAAGGCCGCAGAGGAATCCACGAGACCTGCTCAGGCCCCACGAGACCATGGCAGGCGTGGCACCCTGTCTGGTCCTGTCCTGAGCAGTGGGCATAAAGATGGCAGCCTTCTTTCCTGCCGCTGGGGCTGTGCTCACCCCTGTCCCTGCTCTGGGGCCCCACATGGCACTAGGGGTCTTCCATGGCAAGCTGGGGTCAGCACCATCCTGAGCCCTGGGGACAGACACAGCTTGGTTTAAACCCACAGCCTTCTAGAAGCAGTGTGGTCCCACAGATGATTTGAAACGAGCTGAGGAAGACTAAGGGACTGGATTTTCACTTCTGTTTCATTGTAACAGGGGCACCTGCAAACTCACACAGTCATGAGTCTGCTGCCATGCTGGACAACACGGCTCTCAGGCTGTGCTGGGAGCACAGGTTCCTGAGACCCTGGGCTGAGCCCACCGCTGGCTACACCCTCTCTGGTCATGGCCCACAGCTCCTAAGGAGGATCTGGCTAACCTCCACATGCTGCTGACCCACACAGCGCCTGCCTCAGACAGGCAGGCACCCAGCAGAGCAGAAGGCCTCATGCATCACACGCAAGCGCACACACACGCCATGGCCCACTGGCCCCCAAAGCCCTGAGACCAGGCAAGGAATGCCAACAGCAGCCACCTACCATCCAGAGGGGACTTCTCTTCCGCGTTCTTGTCCTCCTCGGCCAGCATGACCTCCTCTGCGAGCGAGACACAGCCTCAGGCCAGAGCCCTCCCGTGCCCACCCCTGACTAGGGCTCATCCCCCAGAAACACAGCAGAACGGAGGCGAGGCCCTGCCTGCTTGGCCTTCCCACTTGCAGAAGCCACTGGCCATGGCTGAGCTCATCCCACTGAGTCAGAGCCCTTGGTGCGTCCCACAGACAGAGCGCCGTGAAGAGGGCCTGGCTTGCTCCCCCCTCACGTGGCCCTCCTGCAAGCAGCCCCCACCCCAGCAGAGCTCGCTCCTGGAGGGCCCTGGTGGGGGGTGCAGGGAGCCAGCAGAGCGCAGGCCGGGAGCGCCACACAGCCCTGTCCTCACCGGCCTTGAAGATCCACTCCAGGTACCCGTTGAGCTCCCGCTCGATCTGCTGCTGCCGGCGGAGCTTCAGAAAGGCCCGGCGGTTCTCCACCCGCTCACGCTCCTTGGCAAACTCTCTGTGATGGATAAAGCCAGGGCAGGAGGCAGATCAGGTGGGTATAAGCTCACCTACAGACCCCACCTGTACAGCCAGAGGCACCAGGAACCAGGAAGAGGCCAAGACAGGGGCAGCGGGCCACCGGCCACCCCTCCGGGGCCTCCCACCGCCCTGGCCTCTGCCCACCTGAGCACTTACAAGGCCCAGGCAAATGCTCCCACCTTGGGCCCCTGCAGTACACAGGGACAGCTCCCCAGTGCCCCGAGAGGGGCTCCACCACCCCCTGGCCTAGAGCAGGTTTGGGTGCACACCCTCTGCGTGCAGGGCCCCGTCCTCTGGACAGAGACAGGCAGAGAGCTTATGGACAAGAACCCTCCATAGGACTTTGACCTTTTTTCTTTGGCTGGTTCAGACCCTCAGCCATGCTAGAAGGAGGGACAGGGAGGAACCAGATCAGCTCAGGGCGGCCAGAGACAGGGAGACAGTCTAGCGCCACGAGGTCCCTCTGCCGCCCGGGGCCCTCAGCACCTGCCCCACCTCAGCTGAGCTTCTAGGCACAAAGGGCCAGGAGGAAGCCCTGCACACACACACCACACACATACCACAGGCACACACACCTTGGCTCAGGCGCCCAAAGTGCAAGCAGGCATGCTCCCAGGGCAAGAGAGCATGCCTGCTCTCCCTCAGAAGCAGCAGCTTCTGGGCTCGACAGAGGGGCGGGCCCGGCAGGCCAGGCCCCTCTCACAGCCCTGGCGAGGGAGAGAGCTCGGCTCTGACCAGGATGGCCCCCGAGCCTGAGACCACTGTCTACCGGGGCCTGAGCCACCTCAGCCCTGGCTATGAAAGGGGCTGGCTCCCTCCTGGACATCTCACCCCACCCGAGTCCTGACTAAAGACAGGCAGGGCCCCTCACGGTCTCCCCACCAGGCCAGCCCCTTGGCCACACCTGAGTGCAGAGGCCTGAGGGCAGGATGGGGCGAGACCACACTGCCTGGGTGGCCTGAGAGTCATCAGCAGAAACTCCCTGCAGTGACTGACCCAGCTGCCAGGCACCCACTGCTTGGGGGCAGCTGTGAGCCTCCCCTCCCCAGGCTTCTGCCCCTCCAGGAGGAAGGACTGTGAGAGGAATGACCCATTCTGCTTCTCTGGGCACTGAGAGGGTGAGAGCCTGAGGTGTGGACAGGAGCGAGGTTGAAGCACCTCCAAGCTGGCCCCTCCAGCAGCCCTCATCCAGCCGGGGCAGAGTCACACGTGTGGTGATCACCACCCTGAGCGGCCATGCGGTCTCCCACCTTTCCGGGGCTGCAGGAGAAGCCTGCAGGATTAGGGAAACGGGCACCCGCAGGTGGGGGAAGGGCTGAGAAGCACAAAGCTCGCGGGCCTCCCTCAGGCTCCACTGGCAATCCCCTTCCTCCCCCTGTCCTCCAGAGCAACCCTGAGCAGGGCCCACTCGTGTCCTGCCAGCCTCCCCACCTCCTCACAAGCCTGGCGGCTCCAGCTCTGAGCTCCCTGCATCGCAGGCCCCACGCTGTCTGCACCTCCACTCCAGCAGTTCTCTGAAGACGCGACCCTCCTCCCTCCTTGCCAAGCTGGTCCCCCTGCGTCTCAGTGGAGCTGCCCCTCCCCCAGACCCTCCCTGAGCCCAGGCCTCCCCTGGCTTCCCCATCCCAGCCTAGGCTGCAGCCTCCACCTGATGGGGAGCTCCCACCAGCCCCGGTGCTGCTCCGGTCGGAGAGGCTCCCAAAGGCACGCTAGTGACAATCGGAGCCTCACAGGAGGGGGCAAGGCAGGAGCACGTGTCAAAGCCGAGCAGAGCGCGGGGCCCAGACGCTGCGTGGCAGCGCCTTCTCAGACGATAGGACAGCTGCCCACTGGGTCCCCCAGGCTCTCCCCAGCCTACCTCAGGCCAGGAGAACGGCAACATTCCCCCCCAGCTTTACAGGGATCTGATGCCCAGGTCGGGGGGCAGGGTGGCAGGCCAAGCCAGACGCCCTCTAACTGTCCACACAGCCTCCTCAGCCCCGGAGGAGGGTGGAAGCCCCAGACACCAGCCCCAATGGTTTCCTGAAACCAGCGGCACTTCTCCAGCCGCAGCCCCGTGTAGGCCAGGAGGGCACGGTGGGCCACAGGTTGCTGCACCTCTCTCCCAGGGAGGGTCAGAGCCCCTCTCTCCAGGAGGGACCCTTGTCCTGAACGCTCACTCGTCCTCTCCTTGAGGTCAGCAGGGACAGGGGCCCAGAAAGGAGAGTAAGCCAGGGGTCGGGGCTGCTCCATCCCTTCTCCAGTGTCGCAGCAGAGGGCTCTCTGCCCCCCAGGGCTGCTCCTGCAGAAACCCCACCACGAATCCAGGTAAGAGGCAGCAGCAGCCCCTCCCGACTCAGAGGTCAGGGTGAAGGCCAAGAGCTAGAGGTAAGGAGGCCAGGGGAGAGGTCAGATGGCAGCCCAAGGACAGGCTGGCTAGAACTCAGGGCTCTAGGAGCGGCCACCCCGGGGCCAGGCCCTGCCTCCCCCATACCACACAGGCCACACCCAGTCCATCACCCAGCCCTGGCCTGCAAACACAGAGGCGCATGCAGCCACAAGCCCCTTACCCTGAGAGCACGCCCAGCACCAGGTTGAGCATGAAGAAGGAGCCGATGATAATCAGGGGCAGGAAGTAGAGCCAGTTCCAGGTGTTGCCGGCCGCATCATTGGTCTGGAAGCAAGAGCAGATGAGCAGGACGGCGGGCAGGACAGTACCCCGGCCTTCTCACACACCAGCAGAGTCCAGGTACGGGTGGGGCCAGACAGGAAATCCAAACCGCACCTGCCTGCCCTTGCCCCCTCTAGGACTGGGGCCCCACAGGACCAAGGCGCTTCACACTCCTGACCTGCCCAGCAGTGCCAAGAAGCCAAGGGCTTCACCTCCTGGGTGCCCCACCTGGACACCTCCCCTCCGCTCCCAGGCTGCTGGGCACACCAGGCAGCTTCAGAGACAGTCCTCCTTCGTGAAGCCCATGGACCCCAGGGTTCAAGTCTGATCTGTCTCCTGCCACTCCCACAGCACAGCGCAGGGAGCCTGGGTCACACCCCATCAACAAGCAGGCAACTCGCTGCTGCTGCCCCCAGGGAGAAGGTGAGCATGACAGAGCCCCGCTCTCAGGCCGGGGCTAGATAACCCGATGCAGAGGGGCTCCCCCAGGCCTTCTGACTTCTAGAGCACAGCCCACAAAGGGATAAGGCCCTCTCCATCCAATTCTTTTCCACTGTTGTTCTGTTTTCAGGGGCCCCTGTAGGCCCCTGACTAGGGGAGACCTCTTTCTCCACACGAATTTGCTGCTAGAAGTGAACCAAGAGGCGTGGGCATTGTAGGCAGGCAACCACTGGGCCCCTCTGCTCCTCCGTCCAGAGGCGGCTCACAAGCCAAGGGCCAGGCCTGAGCAGGACAGAGGCAGAAGAACGTCCTGGCCCTGCCCTGAGGCCGGGCTGACGTCCAGGCACTGCTGCTGGGGCTCCTGCCCTCCAGTGTCCGCCAGCCCAGGCAGAACTGCGGACTCCACCTCTGCAAGTCCTGAGCCCCCCTGCCTGCCTGCCGCTTGTGGCTTCTGATTCCTGGACATTGATTCCAGGCTGGTCGCCAAGAACCCCAGGCCATGACCAAAAGAGACACTCAGACATCTGACTTTGCTTGCTGACCCCATTCCCTGACCAACCTCTGCCAGCTTCAAACAGAACTCCAACCTATAGGCTACAATGACCGCCAAAGCCACCAGTCTCCCGAGGGCACCCTCAGAACCAGCTTCCTTCTGGGAAGAAGGAGAGATGTACCGCCGCCTCGGCTCCTCCCACCCACTCGGTCAGGGATTTGGCTCCACAATGTCCCACTAATGGACCATTTCCACTGGTAGCCAAAGTACCCTAGTCTCATCTTAAGAAACAAACAAGGACTTGCACTTCTGGGAAGATGAAGCAGACATTCTCTTCCCTATTTCTCCCACTGAGTACAATTAATAACCCGAACATTATATCTAGAGCAAATACACATTTCACAGAAGACTCTAAAAAGTGGAGAAAAGAAAGCAGATCAGCTGGGACCTCTGGACACACGATGAGTTCCCTGGGTTTCTGTTTTGTTTTTCCCTCATATATCCCAGACCTGGGGCTCTTAAAACCTACAACCTGGAAATGCCAAGAGACACAGACAAAAAGTACAGCAACAAAAACCAGTGTGCTCTCTCTCTGTCTCTCTCTCTGTCTCTCTAACCAAAGGGCCAGGAAGGGGGCCACCTAGTAGGACAGACAATAACTGTGCTATTCCAGCCAAACAGGGCAGAAAAAACATGACGCCACCTCCACCCTGGTCAGTAAAGGCCAAGGAGGAGCTAGACAACCCCCTCCCCAGACTGCAAGGAGGTAAGCAACCTCCCGACACCCCTAAACCACGGACATGTCAGAGAAGGACAAGCAGGGAGGTGGACATCCTCCCAAGGCCCCCGCCCCACCCTAGCTCTGTGCTATCAGTGGGGACCGCACGAAGAGCCTGGACTCCCCGCCCGGGCGGCAGTAATGAGACACACTACCCGCTCCCCGCTGAGGTGCTGCTGCCAGAGGGGCCCAGGGGAAAGTCGGACTTGCACCATCACCCAGTGAGGAGGCCACACACACCCCACCCACGTAACGTGCACAGACCATGTGGAGAGCAGGAAGGAGGCAGAGCTAACCTTCCCAGCCAGGGAAGCATCCTAGAGGTGCAGCGGGAGCCAGCATTGCCGCTCCGCCAGGCGAAATGAAAACACCCCCGCAGTGTGTCAGTGGAGGCCAGGTAGGGAGGCCAGCCTTCTACGCTCAGCTTGCAGTAGCAAGGCAGCAACCCCTGCTTCTCTTGGCAGAAGTCAGAGGAAGTCAGCTAAAACAGAGCATTTACATAAGACCCAGGGTCTTAGAACAGAATGTCAACAATGTTCAGCTTTCAATTGACACTCATTTGCCAAAACAAGAACCAGGAAGAGCACAAACTGAATTAAAAAAAAAAAAAAAAGAAGAGATGCTGTGAAATAAAGAATAAAAAGCAAACAAAAAAATTAGATGCTGTGATGGTTAATTTTATGTGTCAACTTGACTGGGCCATGGGGTGCCCAGATGTTTAGCCAAACACTCTGGATGGTTCTCCAAGTGTGTTTTTGGATGAAATTAACATTTTCATTAATAAAGCAGGTAGTTCTCCATAATGTGGTGGGCCTCGTCCAGTCAATTCAAGGACATAATAGAACAAAAAACTGACCCTCTTTGAAGTAAGAGAAGATTCTCCAGAAGAGAATACAGACTTTATCTGCACCATTGGCACTATAGGGTCTCCAACTGCTTTCAAACTGGAATTGCACCACAGGCTCTCCTGGGTCGTGAGCCTGCCAGCCTAAACTTACTGCACATTTGGACCTGACAACCTTCATAATCACATGGACCAGTTCCTAATAATAGAGATCTTTCTTTCTCTCTGTCTCACACACACACACATACACACGTATGTCTTGTTTGTTTTATTTGTCTGGAGAACCCCCAGAGATCACTAACACTAAGATGACAGAGATGATGGACATCTGACAAAGATTTCAAAGCAGCCATTGTAAAAATATTTCAAAGGGTAATTGTATACACATTTGAAACACATGAAAAAATAGAAAGTCTCAACAGAGAAATAATATCATCAAATAAATAAAAGACACAATGAAGAATCAAATGGAAAATTTAGAGCTGAAAAATACAATAATCAAAATTAAAATCTCAGTGGAAAGGCATAACAATAAAGATAACAAAGGAAAGAATTAATAGATGGTAAAAGAGAAGAAGAGAAATTACTCAATATAAAAAGAGAAATAGACTTTAAAAATCAAACAAGAAAGATCAGAGCAGAGCCTCAAGAAGCTGTGTGGCAATGACAAAACATCTGACATTCATATACCAGAGCAGCAGGGCACAGGAGAAAGAAGAGAAAGCTGAACAGCACTCACAGAAATAACGGCTGAAAAATCCCCACATTTGGCAAGAGACATAAACTAACAGGTTCAAGAAGCTGAGTTAATACCAGACAGAATAAACCCAAAGAGATCCACAAGATATCTCATTGTCAAACCAAGAAAAACTAAGCACAGATTAAAAATCTTCAAAGTGGCAAGAGAAAAATGTCACCTTACTTATGGGGGGAAACAATTCAGAAGATTCCTCATCACTGACTACTGAGGCCAGAATGAAGTGGCACACTACTTTTCAGGTGCTCAGAGAGAGAAACCTTCAACAAACACCTGCACCCATCAAATATATCCTTTAGGAATGAAGGGAACATCAAGACATTCTCTTAATAAAAGCAGGGTAACTGGGAGAATTTGTCACCAGCATATCTACCCTAGGAGAATGACTAATGAAAATCTCTAAGCAGAAAGGAATGATTGATTTAAAAAGGAATTCTTGACCATTAAGAAGGAAGAAGAAACAATGAAAAGAGTAAAAATAAGGGTGGTGGTGGTGGTTTAGTTGCTAAGTCATGTCCGACTCTTCCGATTCCATGGCCAAAGGAGCCTGGCAGGCAGGCTACAGTCCATGAGATTCTCCAGGCAAGAATACTGGAATGGGTTGCCAATTCTCCAGGGGATCTTCCCAACCCAGGAATCGAACCTGGGTCTCCTGCACTATAGGCAGATTGTTTACCAACTGAGCTACAAGGGAAGCCCAAAATTAAGGGCAGGTGGATTTTATTCATCCTTTTGAGTTTCCTAAATTATGTTTTGACAGTGGAAGCAAAAATTATAACACGCTATGATGTAGTTATAAATATATGCATAGAAAATGTTTAAGATAATTGTATTATAAATAGGGGAGGATAAAGAAATATAAAGAAGATAAGAGATATATATGTCACTTGAACTGATACTATTATGACACCAGTAGATTAGAGTAAGATTAGAGCAACTACTAAAAGAGCAGAGATACACTCAAAAACAGCTAGATAGATGAAAATGGAATTTTCTTCCAAGAAGGCAGGAAAAAGAAAACAAACAAAAAGCAAAAACAAACAGCAAACAAAAAATTAATAAATAAAATGGCAGATGTGAGCTTTAACATATCAATAATTACATTATATATTAATTGTCTGGATATACGAATTAAAAGACAAAGATTAGCTACTGAATTTAAAAACATGACCCAACTATGTTTTGTCTACAAGAAACTCATTTCAAATATAACAATTTAGGCAGGTAGCTCAGCTGGTAAATAACTCACCTGCAATGCAGGAGACACCAGTTCGATTCCTGGGTCAGGAAGATCCCCTGGAGAAGAGACAGGCTATCCACTCCAGGGTTCTTGGGCTTCCCTGGTAGCTCAGATGGCAAAGAATCTGCCTATAATGCGGGAGAGCGAACCTGGGTGTGATCCCTGGGTTGGGAAGATCCCCTGGAGAAGGGAATAGCTACCCGCTCCAGTATTCTGGCCTGGAGAATTCCATGGACAGAGGAGCCTGGCAGGCCACAATCCAGGGGGTCGCCAAGAGCCGGACACGACTGAGTGGCTTTCACATGATAGATGGGCATTTTGAAAGTGAGACATGGAAAAAGAAACATCATATAAACATGTATCAGATGAAAACTGTAGTGGCTATAATAATATAAGATAAAGCAAAAATTACGACAAAAAATTTCTCCAGAGACACCGGAACATATATAG